TGATATCTGCCTAAACCCAGGCCTTCAGAAAGTAACCCTATTTTGCATAGTCATTCCTATTTCACAATTTACTTTCTGATCGTGTTTTATGTTACCATTTCCTTCCCTCTGTCTATCATTTCTCTTCTCCTGCTCCTCCTCAAATACTCATTTTAGCTTAAATGAAAGGAAATGATAGAGAATTTGTCCAATGTTGTTTTAACTGTCAACCCATTTCTCCTGGAATTGCTTTCATTAGATAAAATGTGATTTCTTTTGCAAGTTCTTCTGGAAACAGGATATTTTTCATCTATTTTTGTCAAATACTTGTGTTAACTGCTGCATATGCTTAATTAGACAAGAGAAGAAGCCGTAAATGATCAACGTAAAGTTTCTTTCTACTCATACTAAAAACTTGAAATGCTATGATACTACAGTTGAAAGTAATATATAATGAATATAGCTATCCGTGTCACCATTTCGGTCAACTCTTACTCCTTGTTAAATAAGCAATTGGCACCTACGGTATTGCATTTAGACACGTACTGGGAAAGGGGTAAAGCTTCTTGGTCAGAGTCCCAGGGAATCTGGCTAGGGATTTTGATAGCTAAATTATCAAATTGCCTTTGAGATTAAAAGAGAGAAACATCACACTCCCAAACAGTGCCTCCATTGTAAGGGATGTTTAGTTAGTAAAGCCACTAAATACAAGCTACAAATTGGCAGCTGAAAGTTTATTTTTCTTGGCTGATTTCTAGTGGTTCATTTAGCCTTATACCTATCTGCTCGGCTTAATCATATAAATGGTTGATAAATTCCTTTTAAATCAACCAAGTAGCTGCCCCTTAAGGATCAGTGACAATAGTGAAAGATACAGTGTGTTTTTGTATTCTAGTTCTGGAGCCATATCTTGCCAAAAACGTACCTCTTGAGCATTTGTCTTTTTTAAAATACAAATAATAGCTAAGAGATGAAAAGTGCACTGTCCCTGCAGTCCAGATTTACTGACAGGGAGTCCAGGAGAGACTGGAGCTAGTGCGGTATAGGCTCACTCTGACAAAGCCACCACAAGAGGAATCAATAGTTACTTTTCTTTCCTAAATAAAAGTGTTATACTGGAACAGCAAATGATGCACAGTTACATAAATATGCGTTGTGAGTATTGGATGCTTGATTGCTAGAAAGTAGTTATGCTACTGGATTAGAAAAAGGAGATTGGATTAAAGACTGGATTATTGTCTGTGCCTCTCGCCCGTCCGCAGCAGCAGATTCATTGCATGTTGTTCCTTGCTCGTTGTCTGGGGATTACCTATTTCTAGCTGTATGTAATTCCTGTCGCAGTATCACAGCTGTATTACAAGCAATTAAGAAAGCATGAAGATGCAAATAACATCTTGATGAATTGACTGTGTCATATTAAACAAACAAAAAAATAGAAACTAAAGAAACTTCTAATAGTACTTATTTTCTGGAGGGTACTTAATGAACTGCAAAGACAATTAGTATTTTTTAAAGTGTATCTGAAAAGTGATTATAAATCCCTACAGAGATTAATTGCCAAACTATTATCATCAGGATTCACAGGATTCTAAACAACTGAAAGGTTTTTAGAAGCAGGAATGGAAATTGAAAAAATATATTTGTTCCATACGCACTTTTAATGGATCACAGAGTTGTACATAAAATATTTAAGTTTTGCTTTCTTGCTGATTGTTATTGAATTAAACTTTCTCTTACAAACTTAGGTCATAAAATTTCAATTATTATGTTGTTTATTTTGATGTTCTTGTTTTCATTTTGGCTATGAAATATTTTCATACATAACATTTTGAGAAAATCTTCACACACTTGAAGAATCAGAGTTTGCTAGTGTAAGATTTTGACATGCATACATCTATCTGAAAGCCATTTGAGGTGGGAGTTGGAACTTTTTTTTTAATGTTATTCTGTTATCATTGATTTGTGCACGGCAATATCAAAACTCGGAGATAAAAATGGAGAGATTTTCCTGTAGGTTGTATGCAGATAGTGAACTGTCAGTTGTATTCTGGCAGTAACTGTAACGCATTTTGATACAGTGATTTTGAACTTCTCTAATGAATGCTTATTTTTAGGAGTATTTTTAGGAATATTTTGAAACTGGTATGGTCCATAAGAGCTATTAGGAAACTGCTGCAGGATAGAGGCATGGTTATTGGTTATTTCTCTAGACTATTGCTTAGGTGAAAAATTACTTTAGCTGCTTGTCGAGAACAGAGAGGTATGACAATTGCGTTAACTTCTCTCCACTTTTTCCTCTTCTGATTCAGAAAAAGTCGTTCTTTTCTGATTGCTCACAGATTCTTTGCTCAAAAAATGTTCTTACTATTTTTACAGTTTTCCTCCTTTGGAAATAAACAAAATTAAGCATGGCATTAACAGATACCTTTGGAACAAATACATCAGATACCTTTGGAACAAATACATTAATTTCTCACTTTCAAATCGTTCATTTTGACTCTGAAAACTTAACATGATGATATTTATACATAACCTGTTAAAATTTTCACAACTCTTTTTGCATACAAGGTTACTCTGGCTCTTCTGTCCCTGAAACTGGCTTTTAGCCTGCATAGCAACCAAACTTTTCAGCTTTTATTTTATTTGGACTGCAGTAAAATCTTATAAGCTTTAGCGATTAAACCCCTTTACAGGTATGTGTATATAATATATTTGACTAGACATTCTTCACCAGAAGCAATAGTATGTAAAGAATTAAGTTTAAGCTCTACCTTTGTGAGCCATGCCTGTCTAATTACAGTACAGCATGATTTAATGAGGGCTCTTCCAAGGTCTCTGTGACTGATACAGCAAACGGCCTGGAGGCAAACTTTAGATCCCAGTGTCAAGAATTGATTCATTGCCTTTCTGCAATTAAGCTCAAGGGTCTGGATAGAAAGTTAAGCCTCTTTTTTGTTTTTCAGTTCACATGCTGAATGCAGAGTTGTTGACCCTTTTATTTCAGATGCAACTGAAAGACTAGATAGTTGGCAGAATATGAAGAAAGAGGACCATGTTGTTTAAATTTACTCATAATCCTTAAGAAGGTTACAGATCAAAGAATGGTTCACTGAAGATGGCTGGAATAAGGAAAGAAATATTCAGCAGAAAAGTTCATATAAAACAGGTCTTTCAATCTTTCAACCTCGCATCCCTCTTGTAATTATTTGAAACTGTAAAAACTGATGCCAAACCAGGGTTTGTGTCCCTGTTTGTTCATGTGCAATGATCTGTGTTTTCTAAAGAAAGAAAGAGGAAGAAAAACCATCAGCATTGCGTATGAAATACAATGCCCAATGATAATCCTGAAAAAAAAATTCATTTTCTGCTATTGAAAATTATGTTGCTCATCCCAAACAATATTCCCACAAAAAGAAAAGGTAAAGGGGAAGCAGGGAACACTACAGGAAAGATTCTTTGGTAAATGTGTCTTGTCTAATGAAAAAATCGTTGGTCTTGGCTAGCTCTCAAGACAAACATTGCAGCACCCATGATGCTGGCCATAGGAACATGCTCTTATTCCCTTGCTAAAAGCTGTAACACTTCCTGGCCTAAATACTATATATGAAGAACTGGAATAGTTACGTAGCTATAAGTTAAGAGATTGTGTTTGAGAAGTTTTCCTCATATATAATAGTCCACTCTACAGCTTTTGGAAAGGGATCTCCATCATGTTGCTGTGCAGAATATTTTGTCTCCTCTCTAGTTGCAGTAGTAAGAGCAAATTAGAAACTTTGTTTTTGGGGATATTTTTTTCATTCCATCTGTAGATGTTTGAATGTGTAACTTTTATAAAACAGTGTTATGTTTAACACCCAGCATTTTTTAGTCTTACTTTGATACTACTGTTTCAAACATACATGTTCTCTCTTTCATTACGTTGTTAAAGTTCAAGTGGTTTAAATCTTACTTTTTTCAAGCTAGAGAATAGCATTACTCACATACCAGAAGGCTAAGTAATGTCTGGGATTTATTAAATCGTTCAGCAAAGCTGACCACAGACAGTTGCATATAGAACAAATGCTGGAAGAAAAATAATCTTCTGTTGACGTTCATTATACTATAACATATTAGGACTGAGAGTCAAATACTCGGTATCATTTCTATCTTTGCAATTAGTATATTTCTTCTTAGACCTTTAACTAGCTTGACTTTTTTGATTGTGGAATGTTTAAGCACAGACAAAATATGTATTCTTAAGCCGTAGCTAAACAAGCTAAATTTAATATTAATTTGTCTTTCTGGTAAAGCAGCTTTGGGTTATATGACATTAAATCTTTACTTATTGGTGACATTAACAAATTCCTGATTTTTCCTGCCAATGAAGTGTTACTATACGCTTTTTAAAATGTTGTATTCCAAAGGTATTTGGAAATTTCTGTCACTGCTGTGCTCAACGGAAAAAAAGCATTATTGATGTTGCATATTGAAATCTTTTGCTTTACATCTGTTACTAGTATTCTGCATACCTTTGAAACTTTTGCCATGCTGTTTTATTGACCTATCACAGATAAAACACAAGTTGTGGAAACTGCCAAAATATTAAGTGATATTATAGATCAGATAGATAGTACTAACCCAAGTGTCAGAACAAACTGATAGATGTTTTGGGAATTTCAGGTCCTGATCTTTTCAGAACACTAAATTTGTTTTGAAATCATAAACTAAGTGTCCAAATATTCATCAAAGGTAACAGGAAGTCGTTATTTTCTGTGAAAGAGTATAACCTATAATTTAGATGTTTTTCATTTTTATGAGTGAAAGAACATCAAATAAACTTACAATGAAATTCCATAATAAGAGAGATAGTTTATCCTTTTTTTTCTGATTGCTTTTTTTAATATAGCATTAGAACCCACTAAATTTTTTAAACTTTGCCTTCTTTGAATTTACACATAAAAGAATATTTGTTGGGTGGATTAAGTGGTTTGTCAGTGGACTCACAGGACTGGATGATACATAATTATGTTTTAATTTTTTAGAAAACTGTGGGACATATTTCCCAGAAGTGAAAAATGATCCAGACAAATATTTACAAAGATGTCCCGAGTCTGTAAAGAAATGGCTAAAACAACTGAAGAATGCTGGGAAGATCCTGCTATTAATTACCAGTTCTCACAGTGACTATTGCAGGCTCCTCTGTGAACATATCCTTGGGTAAGTGCAACATGCATTTCAAATTCTGTCTGCCAGCAAGTAGAGCAATTTGAGATAAGCCATAACTATAAGGAAGTTAGTTTCATCTTCCTTATGTTTGATAGCTTATTTGGGCCTGAGGTTTCTGGTGACCTTCTCTCTGATTAGAGTACAACAGGGTACTCAAGACAAAGTAGACCCCTGGAAGCCAGGTGGTTACAGCTGACCCACAGCACAGTTATATCCTGCATTTTAAGGGCATTTTGATGGCATTGAAGATGATAAGGAATATCTTTCAGGCCATTATCTGAATCCCAAATTGATTATAAGTTTTTGCTACACTGTCCTATTCAAGTCACTTCCTGTCTGTGCTTCCCCAGCCATGAATGTAAATAGTAGTGTTTCGTTTCCTTGCAGTAAATCTGCACAGAAAAGCTCATAAATAGCTCTTCCTTCTAAGCACACCTTCTAACAGATAGTTGGGAACGAGAAATGTGCATTTATAGATCACAGTAGAAAAGATAAAACAAGTAGTTCATTGCACTTAGTAATTGGGTAAGATTTGCAGCTGCTTATGACAACAGCTGTTTTTCAGCTGTAATTTTAAGAACATGACAGGTCAAGTCAAACTCAGTGAAATGCAGCAGACCCATTACTGACACCCCTAGAGATGAATTAATCAGTGATGCAAATAGCCAGGTGGGTGACATGGTGAGACAGACTTTATTCATTAAATGAACTGAAGAAACAAAGTAGTGCAATATGAGACAGCCTTGGCAGTCTGTGGATTTGCAAGGGAACAGCAGAGTGAATACAGTGTCACGATAAGAAAACTACAGGTAAAATGAAAAACAGAGCTGCCCTCCAAAAACAATCTAGCCACTATCACCTCCCTTTGTATTCCCTGGGCTAACTGGATTCAGAGCATCGGCTGTGCCGGTTCTCACTGCCTTACATTCACGTATCTGAGGTGACAACCTACCTCCTTGCAAAAAGGCAGTTTTCCTGATGAGCGCCCCAATATGTCTGTGAATTATTGGGTGTTTCTTTGTTTGTTTGTAGATCTGTGTAGATGTATATGAATGAAAGTTAGAATTAAACCGTAACATTCTTGTAGAATGGTTTTGGATTTCTTTTGTATATAAGGTTCAAACAGTTATAGGCATCCATAGTGATGGTGCGGGAAGTCAGTGGTAAAGGTAGCAGAAAGCGTTGCCTTTCAAGACACAGAAAGAGGGTGGAGCATTTTGTCTCTTTCTTTAGTGTAGGACGTTATACAGCGTTTATTTTGATCATATTTTCTGGTGACTCAAGCATGCAGTGTGGCCTCCAAGACGTCTGGAGGATTGAGTACTGCACTGTCCATTAGCCATTATTGAAGTAGTTTTCTTCACAAAACTAGTTCAAAAATTTTATTGCTCTTGTTTGTTCCATATCTCCTGCATAATTTAATATGACTCTACATTCCCTTACTGGTTTTTGCACTACTAAAATATAATCTAGGTTGGCATCCACCATCTGCTCTCTAACTTCAATTTGTCCAGGGTAACTGAATTTTATTCTTGGTATCAACACTTATGAATCAGCTCTATGTACTCCTTTATTCTATTTCTTTCCCAGCTTCTTTCCAGTTAATCAATATGATATTTTCAGAGGTGTTACATCAGAACTGTACATACTGCAGGTGTTACCTCCAACAAAACCAAGAATAAAGAAAAATATATATATAAAGAATAAAAAACTAAGAATGAGGAGCAGAGATGTGTGTGGAATTTTAGCCTCTTCGTATCATTATCTTGGAACTATTAACTTTTTTGCTCTTTACTGAAAAAGTTCCTCTTCAGATACAGAAATTACTTACCATATAAAATCCCTACTTAGTAATGTATACCTAAACACAAAATTTTCTCCTTAAAGAGCAAAGTATTTCAGCTGCTTTGGTATAACCAAGTTGACTTTAATTGAAAGTCATTTTCGTAAGGAGAGAAGTGTCAGAGAAAATCTTGTTTCGAACTAAAATGACAACCATTTCAAAGCCAGACCACACATGCATTGGCTGGGATCAGTGTATAAAGGCTTGTAAACTATTAAAGCAGGTGTGAGTTCGTTCACACAGGTGACATTATCATGGTGTGACTATTCAGGTAGGTATTTAGCTTACCTACTGTGAGAATTGTGTCAGGTTAATTGAATGGGTGAATTTTGGCAGGAACACAGCTAAAGACAACTGTATATCATATAGTCATTAAAATTGAGCATCATTTCACTTTTTCGTGAATGTTAGCTATTTAAGAGCTAATAATTTATCCAATATTATAATTTTGATTCCATGGGGAGAAAAAATGAGGCATCAATCTTGACAATTCATTCCACATCATAAAATAGTGTCTGAAATAAAAGGGATGGATTGCCCTCCAAGAGTTGTGTGTGTTTCTCCATTGGCTATATGTTCAGTGTATCCCATTGAGTTTGAGCATGCAGGTTTTAGATGGCTAAAATTTTGTGAGATATATCGTTAGGTCTGTGTTGGCCCCTTACTGCAAGCACAAACCACAATGCCAAGCAAAAACAGTAATTAGAACCCATTTTGCTATGCATAACATTGCAGAGTAATCTAACATCAATTATATGTTCTTACAAAATAAGTAGCCTTGTGTAAGTCATTTAGCCTGACTCAAAATCGGCAATAGGTAACATTTCACACAAAGTACTGTCTCTTCGACAACAAATCAAGGAAAAGTTCATGTTCCCGTTAAGCAAATCTTTCTGAAAGACCGCATTCATTCTTTTTGATGTCGGTGCACAAAGCACTGATCACTGTTTCCACAAGTCTTTGTTGAGCTATTAAGATGTTAGCTTTATTTTGAAAGTTCAAGCTAAACCTACCTGTTGAAACATTGTTTGCACGGTATATTAACATGAAAACATGTCTCTATTGATATCTGCCATCCAAGCATAAAGAAGCATGGCAGCATATCTGTTTACTCAACTTGAGGATGGATCAGTGGGCATTTTGTAAGAAAGTATATTTGATGCAATCTTTATGCAAATATTTTCTTTAGGGTGAAAAGCTTACAGTATTTGAAAGTGATACATTTGGCTAGTTTTTTTGAAGTAAACTTCTAAAACTACTGATAGCATTTTAGTGTCTCTAATCATCTTAGCCTTGCTATCCATAACTTCTTTGTTCCATGCTGAGTATCTGTTGTTTTTCATGTGTTTTTCATGTGTCAATACAGTCACACAAGCAATTAACCATTTCTATTAAAATAAAATACTTCATATATGTTTATATTTTCCAAAAATAAACAATAATCACTCTTTAAGCCATACTTGTCTAATTTTCCGTTTTAATGACTTCTGAAATTTGTAAGTAGGTATTGTTGTTACTATTTCTTGCTACAGTTCCCAGCAGGATGTTGTAATAAGTGAGGTCAAATAGATTCCTTAAAGAGTCTTCCTAGAGTAGGAATAACGGGGTCTTCCAGAAATAATTCATCTCCTGGTAGGATAAGAGACATATATGTCTCCCTAGGCTGCCTATTTTTTCTACGAGTTTTACTTACAGGCTTACATATATGTCTCTATTTTTTAAATACCTAAGTTTAAACAACCTGAGTCCTACTTGTAAGCCTTACTTAGAAGATCATTTAAGTCAATAGGATTTCCACACTTCAGGTATCAGTCTATACTATCATAATCCTAATGACCTTTGAAAAACCTGAATTTAATGGTAGGATTCAGCTAGCAGATTAAGACTCCTCAGAGGTGTCTCTTTGTGAGCTTTATGTCTAACCTCCCTAGGTGAGTAAAATTACCTTTGTAAGTAACTCATTTGAGCTCCCATATTCCTACTCTATAAAGGAAAACTCTTAATTTAGACCTTTCTTATAAGCCTGAGCACAGAAATTTGAGACAGTTTTACCTCCAGAATAAACCACGCAACACTCATGTGTTTTCACTGGTCAGTATGTTTTCTATCCTAGATACTTTGCCATCTGTCTATACATACGCTGTCTCCAGAGATTAAAATATATCACATGTTGTGTGTTATCCTGAAATTCTAAAAAAAACTCTCTGGTCCAACGGCCATTTTTTTTGCCACAAACAAAAAGAGCGATTCTCAAGGGTACGATGTTGTGGGATGTCAATCCAAATGTCTTTTCATACACTACAGGCTCAGTAAAAGAACAGCACTAGTGAGACTGAAAAAAAAATGACAAAAAGCAAAAAAATGACAAAATTGCCTTAAAAAGTATTTTGTCACTTTGCTATTTATGTGATCTTAAGTCTTAAGAGTCAGAGTAGCTAATTAATTACCTTAGCTAATTTAATTTCCTTTACTTCCTAGGCATGATTTTGAAGAATTTTTTGATATTGTGATCACAAATGCTTTGAAACCTGGTTTCTTCTCCCATACTCCTAATCAGAGACCTTTCCGAACTCTTGGTAAGTTACAGTCACAATCCCATTCTCACCTTCTTGCCTCTATCCAAAAAAAAAAGAAAAAATAGAGTGATGAGAGAACCAGCCAAATAATATATGTTAATATATTTTGATAATCTAGCAGTGGAAAAAAATAAGGTATACAGGGCTCTGTTTCAAAGATGTTACTAAGAAATGGAGAACTAGGACAATAAGGAAAAATTGTATTATTTAAGACTCAGATTGCAACATTAATGAAAAAGTTATTTTTTTTAATCTTTATTGTACTGTAAGATCTTACACATAAAGCAGAATTTAGTTCTGGAAAAAAATACTAGAAATATTTTAGAATTTTGAAGGAAATTCAAAGAATGATATAAATACAGTTGCAAAGCTGGAGGAAATTATTTAAGATGGAAATCTGGCAATATTAGATGTGTGTACTTTGGCTAGCTAATGACAGTGTAGGCTAAAAGGAAGTGCTGCTGTACTCATTTAATTTAATTAAAACAATGTGAAACATTTGGTAATGCTGTCCACTAGGTAAATAAGGTAGTAACAAAAGTTACAAGAGCAGTGTTTGTTAAACCACAAATGTTAGTAGAAATACGCATGAAGTCAAGTAATTTTTCTGCATTTAGTTAAATATTCTTATGATTAAGTTCTATCCTAAAAATCAATCTTATATCCAAAATACGGTAAGTCAGCATATATTGAACTGTATATTAGCATTTTATGGCAGGAAAGTCAGCTGTTCTAGCCCAAAATAAATTGTGCCTGTGAACCTTTTACAGTGAAAGTAAAATGAGCAGTGGAAATATATATTGAAATTGTATTTTAATATTTTAAGTATTTATATAGGAAAAATAAATATGAAGAGTCTTAAACGTCATTTTAAAGGATTAGTTCAAATAGGAAATCGCCAAGTTGACAATCTAAGGCAAAGTAACTTTAAAGGGAAATTGAATCTGGTTATATAAAACAAAATAAAATTAAAAAAAGAAAAACTGTAGAAGGTGATACAGTCTCAGTTCTATAAGCAATTTAGTTATATATATGTATATAATGAAAATTGAAAATAAGACATAATTCATTTTGGATATTTTTAAACAATCTGATTAGCCTCACTTCCTCAGGAAATCCTGCTGTGTCTCTTTGTCAGCTGGCGACCAACTAGCTACTTTTGAACCTTTTGTTCAATTTAAGTAAATATAATAGAGAGCCAAAAAGCTCCAAGAAATTTCTACAAGTCTTTTGTTGTTGTTGTTGTTTTCTACAAAGAAGAGGCAGAAGAGAGGGAAAAGACCTCAAATTAATGCCTCCATCAAGGACTATTGTCTAGCATTAGCTTAATCACATTATTGGATGCTTAATAACAGCTGAGAACCACGGGAAACTATTTCACAACCACCAGTGTTCATAAAGCTGTTTCTCTTGCAGTAAAACAGGAACAGCATTCTCTAGAGTCTCAGCTCACTTGCTGATTTTTATTCCTTTTATATTTTGGCATCGCTAAGACACTTAAGTGAGAGTTGGTTGCTCATTATGTGAATACTTTATTAATGTAGAATAAGGAGTATGTCTCTCTCTTCTGGAGACATTACTATCTAAAGAGCTATGAGATACAAACATAATTAGAGGAATCAGCAAATAAATAATTGCTCAAACTACAAAACTCTGAATGATTTTTTTTAAGTTTGTCTGCAGTCATCAATAAAATGTCTAACCAGTACATTCAAGACAACTAATTATACATGTAGAAGAGGTTTTTAGAGACATGTCTTCAAGTGGTGAAGAACTAGTTTAAGAGTGTGCAAAGTTTTACCATCAAAATAGAAACAACTATATAAGGAAGTGTCCAGAATATATACTTGAAATACTGTCATATATTGCCTCAGAAAGGAAACATGTGCCCTGATGTCTGCAAGCACCTGGGTGAAATGATCATTGTCCATCCTAAAGTGCTGAGGAACACAGCGAGAGGACATGCACCCCAGACACCCATGTTTTCAGTGCAAAGGAAGCATGGGCAGACAAGCCAGATGTCCATTCGTTCAGCAGTAAATTCAATAACTGTTTCACTCAGTGGTTAGTCCCAGATGATGTTGACTCTGAGGCACAGCACAGGGAAGAGTTCTCCAAGTCCCAGTTTGAAGTGGAAGTTGCAGAAGCTCCAGGCATCAGGTCTGCAGCCTGAAGTATAAACAAAAAGCAGTCCCAGCGTGCTGAGGGCTGTTGCCAGTGCCATCAGTTTGCTGACAAGGTTCCTTAGCTACCCTTTGTAAAATCAGACAGATTTCTCTGAAATCATCTGCTTTTTATTAGAGATCTCTAGGCTGACTTTGAACACATTTTATGTTCTGAGCTTTTTGACGCCTTTCTATATGATCAGGAAGTCTCAAAGTTAATTCTGAAGTTGAACCTGAAGTGATAAGTTTGATCTGGTCAGAAAAATTTTGACTTTTCTAGACTTTTTGATGAGACACTTGTCTGCTAACATTTTCATGCAAACAGAATTTTCTGTAAAAGGACATATATACCACAGAAGAAGTGTTCCCCTTGATAACTGAAGTCATTCTTTGTGAATCTTATGCGGTTCTACAGGGCTGAGTTTCTGTCCATCAGCAGGGTTGAATTAGAAAAAAGAAATCCTAATAATACATCTAGTAGGCTTTTCCTTCTTTTTCAGTGAATTTGTGTTATAAATGGACTTCAGGCACAAAATAGAGTATGTTCTTAATTTCAAACACCACAAATGTTGCATTGTGTACTGGAGCTAAATTTTATGTGTAAGAGGATTTTTTGCTGAGAATTTTCTAAAGGAAAGGCTTTGAAGTTTACTAAAGAGAAGGATAACTTTTTTCGGTGAATAATTTCAAAAAGGCCACTGTGTTCAGTAAACATACAAAGGAGAACAAGAAGCAGGACAACGTGACAAAGAAGTCATTGTCTACAGAATTATGGTATCATATAACTTCTGCTGAAATATTTCTTCAGTAGACAAGCAGTTTTAGAAATAATCCTTTTAGAACCATGAAAAATGATTTGAACTGTGCAATTAAAAATGCATCATTACTTCATTTGAGTTTCAGGACATGAATTATTCAAAGGAATAAAAACATTGTTTGAATTCTCATAAAATTCATATGACTGCTTTTTATTAAACTGAGGCAAGAAGAAGCACAATAATTAGTTGGCATAACAATCCTTCAAAATATCATGGAAAAATAGTGTATACATCTCTTTCTGTGTTTTAGAATAACTACCTGGCGAAACAGTTCTTATATAGTTAAGTATAGCTTATATAGGAAAGTACATATTTTATGATAAGTGTTAAATGAAATCAACTTCACTCATAAGATATATGTATACCCCATAATATATCTCATGTGCTTGTTATTCCCCAAGTTACAGTTACTTCTAAGTAGGGATTTTTTTTTTATCATTCTTGAAATACCTTAAACTATTCAGGCTAAGGATTTTGTCCAATGTATATGAGAAAATGCTTTGGGAAGAATGTAGGGTTTTCATTCTTTCCTTTCAACATCTAGAGCCAACTTAAAATAATGTCATCTATGCAGGACGGTAGGAAATATAGAGTAGCAAATACAGTTCTGACTCATCTCATACTCTGTGGTATACCAAGATTTCTGTAACATTTTTTCAATAGTTTTCCCTTTATCATATCACTTATTAATGTAGGCCAGATTATTAACCTGACTGTCAGTTCTGCTTATTGTCAAACTCAGTCTTCAGAATGTGAACTTAAAATAAAAAAACTAAAGACAGCTCTTAATTTCCTTGAAAGCCTTCTACAAGCTTGTGTGTACAGGTAATTCTCACTTGGTCCTAAATAAGACTTTTATTTTCACTTGAAGAACTATTTATTTGGGTCAGGTTTTCTGATGAGCTGAAATTGTTTCTCTTTCTTTCTCTTTTTTTCACTGAACATTTGTTCAGTGTGTGAATGCACAATGCAAGTTAAGGATGAACGTGCTGATATGTCTTCATATATGTGTGCACATATATGCACAGAACAAGAACTTTATTTGGGATAAAAGTGGATGTGAAGTTTATGTGAAATCATGTGCCTTTATTAAACACCTAGATAAGCAGATTTATTTGCCTTCTACTGTAGAGATTCTCAGGTTTTCAAAGCCCACTTTCCTAGCTGTCTGGTTTTCTGTCCAGCTCTCCTACATGATGTAGCCTCCAATTTAGGAATCTCTTTCGATCCTGCAATTTTTCATGGTTCTCTGGTAGCTGCCATTATTAAGATATCACTTCATCTTTTTTTTTTTTCTCCTTCAATCATTCTTCTTTAGCCTTCTAAAAATACAGGAAAATGCTATAAGCTGGAAAGAGCATTTAGAAAAGAAAAAAAGAGGAAGAGGATATAAAATGGCCTAAGAATAGGACTTCTTAAGAAGGATGTGATCCTATGTCTGCCATTTAATTCTTTTTTTTTTTTTTGCAAGACATCTGGGCTTGATTGTTGCACCAAAGATGGGATTCACAACTGGGTGGAGATCAGGACTGACCCTATTCTGTTATTTTTATACATTTACATTTACATTTGAAGGTCTTTTAGGCCCACAGAGTGGGATCTGAAAGGGAATGGCCTCATTTTCCAGGATGTTAAATGGGTAAGTTTTTTAACTTCTTTTAATGTCAGTCTTTTTATATTCGGACTTGCACTGATAAAGACTTTGATATTTCCAAGCAGAAGAATAAAAAAAAATAACCAGTAAATATTTTAAATGCCTTAAGTAAAACTGAAATGTCTATGAAAACATGAAAGTTTTGAAACAGATCATACTGTGCTGCTGTAAGCACTATAATACAGTCATTTAAGTATTTGCTTGTTTACTGTATTACTCTATTGCTATTCTTTGTTCCAATCATCTTTCTCTACTGATCTTGTCTTTGGTTCTTCATATCTTAAGATTTAGATGTAAATTCAAGTTTTAATTTAAAATTACTTTAGGTTTAGTCCTTAGCTCATCTCAAAGACAACAGCATTGCTGTTAGTGTTTTCATGCAGAAACTTGACATTTGGCAGAGAGCTCACTCTCCTAATAGGGATCTGCTGCTTTGCTGCACCTGTGAACACTTACCAGATATATGGCTTATGGCCATATATGGCTGAACACAGTGTGCAAAGACTTAATGGATTCTGGCAGGTTTTCCAAAATTTGGTCTGTACTGAAATCCCTCAGCCTCAAGTTACTGCTGAGATTAAATAGAACTTTTTCTTCAGTGGTTCAGCACGGGTTCTCACCTCTTCTACCATTGTATTAAGGAAGATTTGGGAAATAGGTCTAACGTGTGAGGCTTAACAGAAGTCTAACAGTGTACTGCCCAGCTTGGTGCTTCCCAGTTTGCCATCCATCACTTAGCAGCTGCCCCTCCAGGAAGGATCTCTGGGCTCAGGAGGGGAGGGAAATCCGGAGGGGAAGTCCAGGAAAGGCTGTTTTCCCTGCTTGTCAGAAGATACAAACAGCATAGCAATACTACCAGAAGAAGAGACCTGTGTTATCTACGCCTGCAGTGCCTCGTGTTTAATTAAATTCACTTACTGCTTGGCAATGCAAGCTGCCACTTGCATGCCAGTTTATTCAGTGCAGTTGTACTGGCTGCTATTTTTCTGGAGAGAGTGCTTTTTCTCTTCATATTACTAAGTACTTCAATATTAGCCTGTCTGGAAATATTCTATAATGCAAGACTACATAATAATGCATATTTGATGAGAGCTCATGACAAACTGGCATGCAAAGGATATACTGGCTGAGGACTGCCTTATGCAGGAGCAGTAAGGTCTAGTAGTAAAGACATCGATCTTCTAAACCTTTATATTGTGACTTTATGTTGTTATAACATCCCACAGTAGACTGAAAGCAATCCATTTCTGTGATGGAAATCTTGTTCAGAAATACCATACAATGTATTACCACTGTTTTTTGATATATTTTCTGGGTATATAGAAAAGGGAAAGTTATAACTAACCATAGTCTAGTTTTCAAAATGAGATCTTTTTGTACCTTATAATATGTTAACATTTAGTGTCTCCTAAATCTCTAATGCCAGGAAGAGGAAAAGCAGAGGACCCAGTAGTTGAAGGGAAAATGTCTTGTTCTGTGGCCAAGTTACCAAGAAGGAATAATTCCCTTCTCTTATCTCTGATAGGGATTCTCACTGGGGAAAAAAGTAAAAAAAAATTTGAGCAAAAGCTTGGTATGGGTGATGAAAGGCTTCATATAGAGAGATCCTAATACCTGGTAATAGATCCTTATTGTTTTCAGTGTTGTTATGAAAACCCGAAAAGACCATGAAAGTGCCATATGAAGGTGACTCCTCTAGTTGATGTCCTTTGGGCAGCATGGTTAGTGCCTGATTCCACTTTCTGAACACCAGGCCAGTAGGGCTGACGGTGACATATGCAGACAAATTTAATCTCATAAAACAGAGGTTGTTTCATACAGCTATTTATCATACACTCAAGAAATAAAGAGGATGTTTCCACAATCCGCATCATCAGGCTCCTTGGCCTTCACCTCCCATCATTTGTTTAAATGATCTTAGTCTAAAACTATTCTGCTTGGATTACAGCATTTGCACAGATATCAGCCACTCAGCAAAGTTTTTCTGACAGTGTAAACAGCTGTCTCAAGGACTCC